CGTATTTTCCACATAACAAATAACATACATACACATACAGTCATACAAAACTAATCTGTATAAATCAACTTTAGGAGAGTGAACACAACAACAATTTGACATTAGTCATTACAAATATATGTGATGACTGCTTACATATTTCTATTGATAAAAATATCCACGAACAAATGACCTTCAAATAAACTGACTTCAATTTATATAAAATTTTTGACTATATATTTTGGTGATTAATAAAAATCCGAATAAATCTGCTGCTGAAGAAGCTGTGGCTTACACAGCGAAACGTTCGGGAAAAGCTTGTTTTGATTTTCTTAACATGCTGGGATTAATTTAAATAATTTATAATGAATGAATCCGACTCGGAGCTCAAATTATTCCAGGAAGTTCGTTACACCTACAGCCTGGAAACCTATAAGGTTTGACCAGTTATACAACGTTTAGACACAATTAACCTACGCTGCTTACTTCTATGACACATTACCTAAAGCTAAGTAGCTATCTTAAAATAGTTCTCACTGAAGGTAATCTCCTGCAGCCACTACTTTTGTGGAATAAAGTGATTATTATTATTACTGCCTTAGTGAGCAACTTAACATTATCTTTGAATTACGAGGTAAAACTGGAAATTCTGAGAAATTTCTTGGTAAAGAGATCGTCTCATACTCGAAAAAAGTAAGTGCGCCCCAATCTCCACAAAAGCGTTTAGCGGCATTCATCCTATCACCTCAAATGACTCACTATTTGCAGTCACTTAAAAAGCAAAAATAAATTTACCGAAGGCCTTGAAACAAACAGGAAGGCCAATGAGAAACGTTCACGACGTCGCAAGACAACGAAAACGTTCCCGAAAAATGCAGACGATTGCAAGGTCTGCATTTCTGTTGTCAAACAAGTAGACTCTGCTCTCGAATGCAACTTTTGCAAGCAATGGGTACAATGTAGATGCGACACCGGGGTACCAAAAGTATATTACGACTTTATGCGCAAGAACCCATGCCCATGGTTTTGGTACATATGTCCAAGTTGCCGTCCTGATGCAGCCTCGTGTAGTTCCTCGAAAGCTAAAGATGGCATAGAGATATCGGGGAAAAACGTGAAACGTTCTACTCCCACCAACTCGGAAAACAGCACAATTGTACGTAAATCGGGGATACCGAAATCCACACCGGTTAAACTTGCAATTCCTGCCATAACTGCCCCAGACACAGAGGCTGAAGCACCAAGGCTATCTGTCACTGGGAAAAGACCCTTATCATCCACCAGTAATAGTGGCCACGGCACTGCGACACACAATAATGTCCAGTCGCACCAGACGAAACGAAACGGCCTTAAAGGGGATGACAAATGTGCGAGGACCGAATCCAAGTACACGATTAGTAGATCAAACTGCGTAATCCTCTTTAATGTACCAGACTGTAGTAGTCGGCTGGAAAACAGGGCCCTGTTTGATCAGAAACAGTGGTCCAACTTGCGTAACACACTGGGTCTGAACATCCAACCAGTAAAACTATGCAGATTGTATAGGGGCACTGGTGCTCCTCAAGGTAAACCATCCCCACTGAGGGCGACACTGGGCTCTACCGAGGATGTCAAAAAAGTTTTACTGACTTCTGAAGTCCTTTCTGTAGGAGGGCCTGCAATATACGTGTTAGGCCAGATAGGCCATGGAAGGAAAGACAGATGGCGAGGGAGTCGCCAGAACTTATCCCTTCTGCCTCCATGGTTGTTCACGGCATTTCCGAACTGGTAACTGGGAACGCTTGCGAGAAGCACTGTCACGACGTACAGCAATGGAGATGGTTGGCATCCCAGATGGCTCTGGGAAGTTCAGGAGCTGTCTCTATTTATAGACTGCCTCGACCCACTCACCTTATGTCAATTAACACGCCACGTCTGTTAGCTGTCAAGTTCAGCTCCCGAGACCACTTGACTACTGCTCTCCAGAGATGGTACGGGACCAAGGACAAGGTCAGCAGACACATTCGCTGCTGCGAGAGCCGGCCTCGTATCCAAAGGAGAGAACAAAGCGTTGTCAAAGAACATCCCCAGCCCCTAGTCACAATACAGCGGTGCAGCTCGGATGATGATAGCCAGTATCATCCAAGTGCTCCGGTTGAGCTAGAAGAAAAAAGCGCCAACAGGCCGGTTCCCGGCAGCCCACATCACGTCAACCACCCCCAATACGGGGACGTGGTGAGACTGACTACCAGTTGCCTGTACAGTAATGTGAGAGGGCTAAGAGGCAAAATAGCTGAACTTAGACACCTACAATCACAGCTGAACTCCAAAATCATAATACTGACGGAAACCTGGCTAACCCCTACGGTGGCAGACAGCGAAGTCAGTATAAATGATATAGTCCCAGTCAGGCGAGATAGGGACCTGAAAGAAGGAGGTGGAGTCGCCATATACGTCGACAAACAGCTCAGATGTGTCCATGCAATGGACCCTCCTCTCATTGAGCTCCCTGACTCCATATGGTGCCATTTCACCGTTGGGCAATGTAAGTATCTAGTGGGCAGCATTTATAGATCACCTTCATGTGGAGCAGACCACAACCAGGTACTGCTGAATACAATTTCAGCGACACAAGACATGGCTTATGATCAAACTGTCATAGCTGGCGACTTCAATGCCCAATCTCTTAACTTGATGACGGGATATGCCTATGTTAGATTTGATCGAAATCTGCTGCATACCATCAAGGAGGCCGGATTCACTGAAAATATCAGAATGGATACTAGATGGGGCCCAGATGGGAAGTCTTCTAGACTGGATTGTGTGCCCACTAGTGAACAGCTACTAGTGGAAGACGTTCAGATCACGACTCCCATAGGTAGTAGTGACCAGGCGGTCACAACATTCGACATAGTCCCCCGCGAGCGTTTACAGTGGGACAATACACAGCCCTATCTGTGTTATAACAAAGCCAATTACACCAAAATGCGAAGACTTTTGTCTGAAGCAAATTGGCCAAAAAATTGGACAGAGCTTACAGTAGAAGAAAACTGGGGAGTGGTAAAAGAGATCATTCACCAGGCGGTCTCAGACACTGTTCCTTTAGTCACACCAAAAGCTAGAAAGCAACGTTCATGGCTAAAAAGGGGGACACAACGCCTTCTGCAGGCGAAGCGAAAAGCCTGGTTTGCGTGGCGAGTATCGAAGAGTCAACCCGAACATGAAGTTTACCTTGAACTCAGGAATCGATGTAACATACGAGTTCGGAGTGATAGAAGGACATTTCAGAGAAACCTCGCCAATAAGCTTCTCGTGAACCCCAAAAGCCTATACAGGTTTAGGTCTGAAGGAAAACCGACCACCCAATAGCTTGCAATCTAGTGGGTTCTGATGGGAAATCCCGGGTGTTTTTGGAGCACTTCTCGCATGGTTGAAAGATTACTTAGGCGGGAGGGAATTCTGCGCCAAAGTCAACCGCATCCCATCATCCTGGCACATCTCGGCATCAGGGGTTCCTCAGGGTTCTATCTTAGGGCCGCTGATGTTTTTGATTTTTATCAGCGGCCTGCCCTGTCAAATGAACTGCTCTGCGCTTCTTTACGCTGACGACGTAAAGAATTGGAGAGCAATAAACTCATCGGAAGACTCCGACAGATTGCAGGCTGACCTGCAAATCCTGGGAGAATGGGCTCTGGCTAACGGAATGCCTTTCAACCTAAAGAAGTGCAAAGTAGTGCAACTTCATTCCGGCAGGTCACAGAGTGTAAATTACACCCTTGGTGGCCAGAACTTGAGTTGTGCCATCAGAACGCGACCTAGGTCTTATTTTAAAAGAAAAGCTAGACACCAGTGTGAATTACAGGAGGGACGTCGCCAAAGCTTACGCAACTTTACACTTTATGCATAGGCAGCTGGGAGCTCTTACTCCCGAACTATTCTTAAGGTTGTAAACGACATAGGTGGGGCCACTCCTTGAGGTGCATAATATCACTGCTCCTCTGCTACTCAAAAGGGATGCTAACATTCTAGAAAGTGTCAAGAGACGAGCGATAAAATGGGTGATCGGCCTCTGCAACAAATCATATGAGGAAAGACTGAAGAAATTAAGTCTTTTCACACCTAGTTACCGTAGTCACAGGGGAGACCTCATCACCGTCTATAAGATCTTAAATGACCAGGCCCACCCCAATAAAAGCATCCTGCCATTAAGTGGTTATAGGCTTCCACGAGGTAACTCGCTAAGGATAGCACACCAGAGACCAAAGACTCGAGTGCGTTCACACTTCTTTTCGCTTCGAGTTTGCCGTCTCTGGAACGCTTTACCGGCTGCCATAACTACAGCGCCATCTGTGGAGACTTTTAAGCGGAAGCTGGACAATCATGCAGCAATACATGGTTTGTGTCTCAATGGCTTATCCTCTTAAAATTTGAAACCACACTGTCAATGGATAAGCATACAAGCTAGATCCCCACGACCCATTCTGTCTTCTCTCACTGTACCGACTACTCTATCTTTTCCTTACGTCACCTTTATTATTTCACTTATCTCAACCTATATTATCTACACTGCAACCTATTATTATTATTCTACTTTTATGACTACACCGAGTGACCAAGGGGTGTTAGGTCAAACTCCATTCACGGCAGCAACTGAGTCCTAACATACTGCACACAACAAACCACATCTTGACCAATCCTCGCACCACTCCTCTTGGAGTCTACCAGAGCTAAAGCAGTCGAGTGGCGGGATTTACTACGCATAAGTTCACCGAAGATCTGGAACCTCTACCTTACAATCAAGAAGCGAGCTCAAAGAAATCACTGGTTTATGCTAGCTCGTAATCAGGATATTGGATATTGGATAGTCCCACAATGTAACCAGACATTTGCCCATGCTGCAGCGGAGACTACAGAAGATCTGAAAATGTTCCATGATATCAGGTAAGTGGCACCAAGAAGTTAAGGGATTGTACCTCTTTGCTAAACAGACATTGGATATTGTATTCTGACCTATAGCTACCTCAAATACATGCGCTACAAGCATGCCTAGCTGGTTTACAAACAAGGTATGTTATTTAGAGATATAGCTGTGCTAATTAAACTGTAGCTTTCTGAATGTTCTGGGCCAGTGCTTTCGACGGATGACCTCTTAAAGCTTCGGGAACAAACTAGCTCGGTGTTTGAGCGGAACTATGGAATAAAACATTGGGAGAAGGGACTCCCCAAAGAATTAGGGTCACTTAATCGAATTACTAAGGAATGGTTGTCTATGGCACTCAAAATGAAGTCCGGACAGGATCACATATGTGCAATGGCATATTTGGTAAACTCGTATCCACTTCATGCTATACGCTTTCTGGACAACTTGATATCATTGGTTTCTCCGTCGAAAAAACGTGACTGCTGTAAATCTCTAGGTAATTCTCCCTATACTTTCGAGTGCCGGTTAAGATATATTGAGCCACCTTTTTGGCAGTCTTATTCCAAAGCAGCGAGTGCTGATTCCTCTATCCACTCGAATTCTGAACGTATTAGAAAAACCGTGTACACCAAGTTCCAAGGAAGAAATTCTTTGCTTATGGCATTTTGAGGATGAGCTCAAACGAAAGTATTACCAATTCATCAAGGCATCAGAGGTTAGCTGCTTATATTTTGTAAAGTTTTGCAGAAACTTTTATTAAGTGACTGCCCTGATCAATTCAAGCGCAAGACTCTAGGTAGTTACCTTATAATATTTCAAATTGTGTTCGCTAGGTGTTTTGGCAAGCCTCGTTGAAAAACCGGAAAACCAAACAGTATGATATTGTACCCTTATTTTCTTCAGTTGATATTAAGCATAATAGTAAATAAACTTGGTGATCGTAGTAAGGAATTCGCTTCTGCAGTGATACATAAACTACGTTTAATCGGTGAGTTTTAGGTTTAAATTAAATATGTATTTTAGCTGGAATGTCTACTTCTCTTATGCACTCAATTGTCCAAGAAGTCCGAGCTTTCTTATTCCGCCCTAACTTACTGGAAAGATCTAAATACTATGCTCTTTCTCTCTTGAGTTGCCTGGAGCTCAAAAAGTCTTCAAAACATTCGAATGCTGGTGATGTAGATGTAACTGGCTTGGCTTCAACTATAGTCAAGATTTACATGTCATTTTTTCACTCGATAGCTAATTCCAAAGAGATACCTGAACGTCTCACTTCAATACTGCTTAGTGGCTTGTGTCGAACTGCTCCTTTTATTACTGGTAAGTACTACTGTAATAATGCGTATATTATGATGACCAAGAAACATGTATTATGTCAAGTATGTATATTTTTGAGAAAGTGTGTTGATTTCCAACGTCGATTGTGTGGCAAAGTTCAACAAAAGCGTCCCAAGGGATGCGAACACACGGGTGTCCTTGAGCCTACCAATCATGAAAATGAAGAATTTTTGCATGAAAAATGACGTATATTTACAAGAAAATGCGTGAAAAAGGTTGTCTTTCTCTGACATAACTTAAAAATACATCCAAGTTATAATGAGGAGTTTTGGTTGCTAAGTTAGACTAGTTTCTGTACATGTATTCACCAAGGTGACTGAAGATGAGCTGTTTTTGTAAACTGTTCATCTCTCCTATCTTGTTGTGCGATCTTCCTCAAAGCTCTCGGTTGAATTACTATTGTTTCCAGTAAGACTACTTATCAGGAAATTGTGGATAAGGAAACATTAAAATGAATGACATTAACTCTAAATCTATCCCTAGTCGGGACCCCTAACCTTAATTCTAACCCTAATTACAACCCTTATCCTAACCGTAAACCTAATCCTAATCATGACCCTGACCCTAACCCTAATATTTACCTTAACCCTAATTCTAACCCTAGTGAGCTATTTACACATTGTCGAAGCAGTACTCAAAAACGTGATCTGAGTGAAATTTCCTGGTTAGTTAGTTGGCGAATAGCGTTGATATTTCAGCAGCGATAGTGACAGGTGCCGTCAGCCAACGACTAGCATGCGTTCAAGGTCATTAGAGCGTTCGCACTTATGGGACGCCGATTGTGTAATATGGTCGCACTAATTTTATGTAAATTTCTCAGTGATGACTAGAAATATGAACGTGATATGCGCGTAAGTATACTGTCTGATAATCATTTTGGGATACATAAACTGTATAAATTGTGAACCTTTTTGTAATTCGCCATTTTTAACTGTTGGTTTGCAAATAAGTACGTGTGGGACTGTCTATGAGTTCCATGTATGTTCTGACATTTCAGAAATTCCTATTTGTAAATTGAAATTAGTTCGGAGGTTGAATAATTTGATTGCCCAGTGGATTACAGATTGTCTAAGTTGGAAGTCTCATTTCCAGGTATCTAGGAAGTTGCGCATTCTGAATATACACTTTAAATGCAGCGTGACTTGGAGTCAAGCATGTTATTAGCTGTGAGAGGTATGTTTGTCGGACATAAGGAAGAATATCTTGGAGACGCATGCAGGACGGATTAGTACGTATTCACCATTCTATTATTATTATTATTATCATTGTATCCTTTAATTCCTACAGGAACATAGGGATTCAGCCGTGCGTCTCCATTGCGTTCTGTTCTCTGCTAGAGTCTTCACCTGGCTCCAAGTCTGCCCACACGTTTTCATCTCCTCTTCACATGACCTCCTCCAAGTCACCCTTGCATTGACGACAAACTCGCCGCTTTCCCTTTTCGGGTTCCACTCGAGCAATGGCTTGTCTAGTGATGTCACTTGATGGTTTCCTCAGAGTATGGCCAGCCAATCCATCTTCATTTCTTCCTGCCTATTTGTTTCACAATCGGTTCCTGGTGGTTCGCTCCCAAAGATCCATGTTGTTAGTATTTTCTGATCGGCCATCTGATCTTGAGTATTGAGCAAAGACAACTGTTAATGAAGGTCTGTAGTTTGTTTGAGATGCTCTTTATGACGCGCAGTGCAAGTCTCTGATCCGTATAATAAGTAGCACTGACTTCATATTGGAGTTGAAAATCCGGATCTTATTTTTGATGCTGAGTGCTGTTGACCTCCACACAGACTTGAGAGTAGTGGAAGCTTGTCTTGCTTTTCCGATTCTTGCTTTGATATCCTCGTTAGTTCCGTTTGCCTGTAGTTGAAACGATGCTTCCCAGGTAGGTAAAAGAGGTAGTTTCTTTCAGGTTCCTCCCATTTATGATGATTGTTGTCTGTTGATGTTGTTGCTGTTGGTGGTGTTGCCCAGGAATCTTCATCACCTCTGTTTTCTCTATGTTCACCTGAAGTCCTATCTTTGATGCTTCTTCTCCTAACTTGTTGCTTTTCGCTTGCATATCTTCCAGTTTGTGGGAAATCAGACATATATATCACCATTCTGGATGCATGTAAATCTATTCAGGTATTTGTGAGCGATTATTTCTGCTTTTTATGTATTCGGGTTTATAGCCGTATGTTTTGTAAGATTTTAGTATTCACAGCACTGAATGATGAGTTATTTGTTATGTGGAATAAGTTTTAAAGCAAAAATATTTTGGTCACAACTGTTAAATCTTTAAATATTTGTATTATGCCTAATCAACTTTCACTATCATATTCTCTTTTTTGGTCAGAGGATGCATACACAACCATAGTTGATGAAATCAATGATTTATTTCGACTTGTTCATACAACTGGTTTCACAGTGTCTGTACAAGCTTTATCTGTACTATTTCAACTGTCCATTCATCGTGTAGCGATACGTGATCGTTATTATCAGGTAAGTTCTTAGTGCTGATATTCTTTGTTTTTATTTTACAAAAAGAGGATCTTTATAAATATCCCTTTTGATTAGTTATATTTATGTTACGCAAGCAATTGCATTTCCATACAGTTGGTACTTTTACTTTACTTCGGCTATCTCCTACGGAAGGATGAGCCGGCTTCATGAACATCTCGAATCATCGCTGCCCAGGCGCGATCTGATGCAAGGTTTTGCGACAGTTTGTAAGAGAGTTCGTGAAGTTTCATGGGAATTTGGTACGAGTGATGTCCCCAGAATCGCTCGGCCTTTTGTTTGAGAGTGCAGCTCTAGCCTTTACACAACCAAGTGTGACCTACAAGGCAGTAGGAGTGGAGTAGGGAGTCCACTATCCATTGGCAGCCGGTGACCGGAGTTCGGTTCATACGCCTTTTTGAATGGGGCCAGACATCCAGGACATCCAACAAGCCCTTTGTCCATACGTCTGCAGGTGAGCTTCATACGCCAGTCGTTGGAGGTTTGGAATCAGGGTTTAGCCATCTCCCCTAGACTGTCATCCAATGGACAGTCAACCCGGTGAAGAGCGCCGGGCATCCGCTTGGTAGTGAGTCATACTTGTTGTATTTGGCTGCCTGGACCCCATATCTGTCTACGATCTCTTTCTCACGTTAGGTGGTATAATAAGGTAAGTAATGTTGACGTTAGGCGAAGAGTGTTGGGCAAAGAGGGAAAATCAATCGGAGAGGCTATAAAGGTACATAGATTGAGATGGCTAGGTCACGTGCTGCGCATGCCTAACCATCGCCTCCCCCACCCGACGGGCATTACTAGCTGATATAGGTGCAGGTTGGAAAAGAGTAAGTGGTGGCCAAACAAAAACATGGCCTCATCAATCCATTAAACCCTTGACAGTTAAACTGACTCAGTCAGGTAGGGAGGGAGATGCAGACTTCCGGGTTGGGGCCCGCCCTCGGGACTCTAAGAATCAATGAAGGCTGGAGACACTAGGTGACATGGTTCAAAATCGTTGTCAATGGCTTACGCAGATGTATTCAGTCTCTTGTGTAATCTTTCATATTCCTTTCTACCATTACTCATTCTGTTTCACTCTTATACTTGTCATAACTCTATTGATTCTCTTCACTCATTTTCTTGTCTACGTTTGTGTGCTATTTGGAACGTGGCAACTCGAACTGCTGCACTTCGGTGACAAGTTCTATGTTGACTCCAGACAGACAGACATCTGTTTAAATTCATCATTGATGTACTAATGGAATTGACTCTAACTGAGGTGAGCGAATTAGGAATTGAATTGTTACCAGGGTATATATTCCATTATGGTAAAGATTTTGTTCTAATAAAGTTACACAGTGTTGTTATACAGTAATATTTACTGATGACGCTCAGAGCACAATTGATTGCTACTCATAACCATCATATCAAGGTACTCACACAACTTTCTTGCTTCGTTTATACACATGAGTAAAAATCGATTAGACACTTGAATAAAATCAATATAAGACTTGCGTGAATAATAATAATAATAATTTTTGCTTTATTCCAAAAACAGTATTAATGATACAGCAAGGAATTTTCAGCATTCAGTACAGTATTGCATCTAATTTACTCAAAAACAGAAAGGAAGATAAAATACATTCGAAAATAATATGTTACCAATAGAATACAATAAGATGGGAAATAAGACGAGTGTTGTTAGTCGATAATATGGGAAATTAGATGTTTTTATAATAAAAGTAGGTAACTTGTTCGAATTTAATTTGTGGATGATGACTAGCAGTGAAATCCAGGATTACGCGCATTTCGTCTTACTTGGCACTCGTCAATGGATGTACCTGCATTTCCCAGTCAGTGATGATGTTCCCGCCTCCGAGGTTCGAACCCAGTGCCCATAGTTTCAAACGCCAGAGCGTTATCCACTATACCACTTGGGTCATGAGAGCCACCTCTTGTGCAACGGGTCATGTTAATTATTTAATTGAATTTCAGATTTTCCCGTTGATTGATTGGACCGAAGTGCTCGGTCTCAGGTTGACATGTCGGCTTCTTGTGCAGATGCTTCGACGATGTCTGGGCATCTAATTAGAATTTAATTTGTTCGAATGTTTACAATGTGAATCGAAATGCATTTTAACATAATTTATCCTCTGGTTTGACTGGTAATAATATCTTCAGTATCTCTGGTGTTCGCGTTGACTCACTTCTATTGCGTGTGTCGGGTGTCAACTCGATGGACCAGGATTCAGTAATCAATCTCTCTCTATCTCCACCTACTTATATTACTTCTTCGGATTTTGACTCTGTCCCATCCACCCTATTGTGTGATTGTGTGTTAATGCATGCAGTGCAATTGCTGAGTTATTTTTTCTGAATTACTTATCCTCGTAGGATCAATCATTCTAACCTTAGCTGAATTCTTATGTTATGACCTTTTTAGTTCACCCAACTCATAGTCATTGCAAGGTATTTTGTAAATTATATAACTTTGTTTAATTGGGTCCATCAGGTCGTCTAGCCTATAGAGCTTGTCTTATCTGAATGAATTTGTAGGTTTAAATGCCACCCTAATTGCTACTTTATTGAGAATCCTATGCAGGGTCTCAGATATCCCCTACTTATATAGTAAGACTGTAGATGCCTTATATAACATTCTAACAAGTTATTTTAGTGTAAAAACATCTTGTTTCCCATCTTATTAACTAATAACTCGTTTTATTTCCTATTCCATTGTATTTTATTGATAACACGAATATTATTTCCGAATGTACTTCATCTTATATTGATTTTATTCAAATATCTAATGAATATTTACTCATGTATATAAACGAAGCAAGAAAGTTGCATGAGTACCTTGATATGATTATGAGTGGCAATCAATTGTGCTCGGAGCGTCATGAGTAAATATTACTGTACAACAACACTGTGTGATTTAATCAAAATAAAATTTTATCCATAATTGAATTATACTGTACCACAGTGCCCAAGTTTTATCTTTATACCAGGGATTTCAAGTGGCGTGGTTGGACTAGACGTACTTGATAAATGTTTCAGTCACTTTTATTGATAATGATGATTAGTAGTGCAACACTTGAGAGTCAGATTTCTGAATTCTGCATAGTTAACGCTGTGTATCCCATGAAAAAGACAGTTTCCAGAATGTGCTGACTAATATTAGTATAAAACTTGGGCACTGTGGTAGAGTATAACTCCATTATAGATAAGATTTTATTTCGATGAGTCACACAATGTTACACAGTAATATTAACTGATGACCACGTTTCGAGCACAAACTATTGCCACTCATAATCATATCAAGTCACTCACACAACTTTTTCTCCTTCATTTATATACATGTGTGGAATCAATTAGATTTTGAGATAAAAATCAATATAGGATAATGTACATTCAGAAATAATAATATGTGTTATTGATCAAATACAATCAGATGGGAAATAAGACGAGTGTTTTTATAGTCATAATAAGTAATTTGTTAGGATGTTGTGATGTACTTGAATTGAAATAGAATTTTGAGATTATTTATTACCCTCCTCTGATTTGACTGGCGGTAATAATATCTTTCATATTTCTGGTATTTGCATTGAGTCATTTCTGTTGCATGTGTTGGGTGTAGACTCAATGAACCAGGCAGGATTCAGTAATCAATCTTTCTCTCTCTCCACCTACCTATATTACTTCCTAGAATTTTAACCTTCTCCTTCCCGACCGATTGTGTGGTTGTGTGTTAATGCATGTAGTGCAATTGCTGAACTTTTTTCTAAATTACTTATCTTCACGAGTGGGGTCAACCATTCTTACCTTAGCTAATTTCTTATGTTCCGACAATCTGATTTCCGCCGATCTACTAGTTTGACCTATATAGTTGACCTCACGGTCATTGCAGGGTATACCCTAAAATAAAATCTTATCCATAATGAATGTGCTGACTAGTCGGAAAGAATTACTGTATGCTCACTGTATGTTCACCTCTCTATCTACTCAATCGATCCATCTACATTACATTCATGCTTTCTTCTTCTTATGCCTAGGCATTATATCGAAAACTCTTAGATCCTGCTGTACATCAAAGTTCAAAGAATCCAACTCTTCTACGTCTAATCTATCAAAGTATGATAGCTGATGATGATATGGATAGAATTGCAGCATTTGTTCATCGAATCCTTCAATTGTGTATTGCACACACAGATCCCGGTTTTGTTATAGGCTCTTTAATTCTGCTTAGCAAAGTAAGCGCGTGCTTTTAGCATGTATTTGTAGTTTTTAAATATCTTCTTAAGGCATTATTTTTATTGTTGTTAATATTTTTTAAAGTTTTATTCCTTTACGTTACCCAGTAAAGAGTAAGACAGGAGTGTCTATTATCACTAATGATGATATTCTTAATTGTGGTGGACTGGCTGGATTATGTGTCACACTTTGGGGAGCGAGGAGACAGGAGTACGCTGGACCACTGATAAGAAGATTCTAGAAGATCTGCATTTCTTAGATGATATATGTTTCATGTCACGCAAACTTGAAAACTTGCAGGCGAAAACCAACAAGATGGCTGAAGAGGCTAGCTGCGAAAACAGGACTGCAGGTGTTATGAAAAAAAAACAATAACAAAGTTTAACCCTGAGGAACTGACCAACCACTCACAGCAGACTTAACGTGTGTAAATACGATTCGCAGATATATGGCTTAACTTTCTGAGAAACGGTTGCAGACTGAATTCTACCGCTCAAGTTTGCAATGTGGCCGCTCTGCTAGGTAGCTCGTCGCCGTCATAGTGCACTCGGAATTGTTGTTATTAGATGGTTGGAAGCAATCGGTACAGAGCTCTGTCTGACCTAGGTTTCGTGCTAGTTCACACTCACCAGTCAGCAAGGCGTATTACCAGCCACCTTGAAAAAACTCATGTCCATTCTGAAATTCCAGCCTGTGTCACGCAGGTCATTCAAAGTAAGTATGACTGTCGTTTGACTACTGGTCATACTCTTCAGTTTTTGTAATGGAATTAAAAGCTTTGAAAGTAGACAGAATATGTAAGCATAGTTCATTTACTCCCTTAGATAAAACATGCATCGAATAACGTATATATCTCACTACACATGAGCAAGTAAACTAATAGATACGTATAGAATTGGTCAAATGTGATAACTTGTCTGTAGAGCTGTTAAAGAACAGTTGGCGGCATGAAAATACCGATCGTAGTGTAGCAGCAGAGGAAGTTCTTTTCAGGGCATTATATGTTCTCCCCTGTAGGATTTCGTCCAGAAGGTCGCATTTAAACGCCGCATTCATGTATAGCATCTTCTTCGGCACGTAGATGGCGTGTTCTTTGTTGGTTTTGGGCTTTACATGTTTCTCTATAAAGCTTGAGGAGTAGTCATTCGCAGGAAGTGTCTTCCTCAAAACAATGATCTCTTCTTCTACTACGGATGCAGGGCTGCAGATTCTTCGGATTCTAGTCGCAAGAGATTATATCAGGTTCCACTTGCGACTAATGGGCACCTAACTATAAAAGTTTGTCAACTGACCGTTCCACACAGGCTTTCTATGTACTGATCTGTTAAAAGTTCCATCAATCCTAGCCTCGTAGTTCAGTCATACTGTTTGCAATTGTTTATACCGAAATCAAGCATTCGTTAAGGTTAACCAATACATAACTGATTCTCAATGTTCTAATCTTTTGGAACATTAGGGAATAACCAATGTCATATCTTGTTAGTCCCTCGTAGTGCTGGTACAGACTTTCAGAAGTGGTAACGAAACTAAATGATTCACCGTCTCCCAAATACATTTCGAATTGATTTTAACTAGCTGATGAGCAGTTGGCTGTAATTGTGGGTTTGAATCTCTCTCAACGAATCAGTTCCTTCGTTGTTGTTGATACATCTTGTTAACGAGTACCACTAATAAGTACATGCGTACTGATGAAGAGTCCCAAACTAGGACGAAACAGCTGTCCAGTACTCCCAGGTTTTCCAATGGTTTTCTAACTAATGTCAGCTCATGATGAAAATCCTGTAACCAATCAAATCCCTACAAACCAACACCTGAACATGCTGAAATGTTGAACATTTCCCTCCTCGTTCATCTAATCGAGTGTAACGTCTACATAAGAGGCTGTTTTCGAGGTCTGAATTGCGAGTGATTAGGCAGTTTAAACTGGTTTGACCTTAACATTCATTGTCTAATATCAGTAGAACTCGACTAGATTTCAGTGACAAGCAATGTGCTCTATAGTAAGGGGTCTAAAATTCTGTTTGAATGAATTTAAGTGAAGCAGTCCTAGGGCGTATTTTTATTGTCTAATTCCTTCTTTTTAAGGATTCATATCATAAATGTTCGTGTCACTTATGCTACTTATGAGTAGTAGTGCACTTGGTGTGTTTTGTTATTACTTATCTTTTATTTTGATTAATTTCTTTTGTGTTTAGGTGTCTGCATCAAAACCAAATCTCCTGGTCGTTTCTCAGATGAGTGGGGAGCAGTTAGTAAGTATTGTTTGCAGTTTAATTTACCGCTATTATTACTACTATTACTATGCATTTTCCCTGTCATTTTTAAACTTCCCTCCAGATTGTTTGTTTATTGATTTATTTATTAAGACAGAAACCTGGTACTTCACCGGCACCAAGAGATACACCACACAAAAGACATATAGTTTGTGCCAGGGCTGAGATACTCACTGCCCGGACGCCTACACTGAAGCAGGTGTTGTTTCTAGTTAAGGTCTCCATCCAAGCCTTCGACATGAAGTTTAATTCGTAAGTTAGTGGAGTGGTACAAGTAGCTGACTGGCTGGTTTGAAAATAGAACTTTGCAAAGAGGTACATTAGTTCAACTTGCCACACTCTATGTATCACACAGAGGAAGACAAAAGATAGAGAAAAAGATTCAGAAGAACGATAATAATAGTCAGAAATGCGAGGGAGAAGAAATATTACCAAGGCAAAACGTGCGGGTCTGACGGAAATGGAAAATCACAAAGAGAGAATGCATTTGTGCCACTGGATAACAATTTCAAGGGCCACTTCATCAGCAGTCTCAAGCTAGTGGTTCCTAGAATCCCTGCGGCTACAACCAGTCAAGTAGTCTACACCTCCCTACGTGGCTTGCTCGAACTAACTGTCAAAGATTTCATCGACTGGTTCCAAGTTCTGGTTCGAGCACCACCAGCTCTTTTCCAGCCTAATCCTATTTCAGCGAACATTGCTTGTCGAGGAAGGTGATGGTTAGGAATGCTTAACTCATGTCGTAACCATCTCAATCGAAGCAGCTTTATAACCTCATTGATTGATTTGCTCTCCCTATCTAACACTTGACGCCTAACGGACTCAATATTATTACACCACTTAACATGGGTGATGGAACCATCAGGAGCCATGTCCTCATGGTTGATGGTGACCGGAACGGGTTCGTAAAGGCAGTCAATAAGATTTACTTGGCAGAACCTATGAACGTGTGGTGACAATAGCGCATTTCGAGAGGAAGACGGAAGTCTACCGATAGTCAGCTGTACCAGGTCGTTTATGTGAGCATTTTCTTCCCAGAAGTGGTCAGCTGATATTGATAAAATCACTTTGGTAATTTTCTCTCCCTATCTGCATATTTTTATTCAGTTTCTCATGATAACTGCTTACAACTGCTTAACACTTGCCAAATATTTATTCCTAATTCAATTTTAATTTTCCCTTGAATTGATTCGACCAAATTGGTCTGTCTCTGTTGACATGTCGGTTCCTTGTGTGGATGCTTCGACGATATCTGAGGATTAACTTGAAGTAAATTGGTGGTGGGTGGTGACTATCAGTGGAAACCAGGATGTACATTTCATCCATTGCACCAGAGGTAGGTGGCTGTCGTGGTAACATCTTGGTATTTAAGATGATAATTGTTGGGTTTGAGCCTCATTGGTAACATCATCACTCACTCACTCACTCTCTGGGGAACGCAGGTACACTGAGCTGACAAGTTCCAGATAGGACGAAGTTTGGCGCATCTTGGATTCCACTGTTAGTCACCATCGTTCAAATCACTTGTTAAATATGCTGTTTTTCTGTCATCATTTTTATCTGACAAGGTCACGATAACCAGTGTCCTTTATTGGTGAAGAAAATAAAAGACAGATTCAGCGAAGAAAATTTTCTTTATCGACGAAATCATCTTCAGAGGCTGTACAGTCGTATTTATACTTACAAAAAAATATATTATGGTCTATTATTGAGTAATAGGAGGTGACATAATTGATATAATTACTCAGAAGTGGCTTTAGAAGTAAAAATTAAAAGTTGTAAATTACGTGGTCCACAACGGCACAAAGTTAGAAATTTGATAAGGTTAAAATTGCTATTGAGTCAGAATAAAAGTATTTGAGTGTCAATTTAACAAGTGTGAAGAGGGTTGGAAATGTACACAAGGAGTATTTTCACTTCTAAAGCCACTTCTGAGTAATTATATCAATTATGTTGCCCCCTATTACTCAATAATAGACCAATATATATATTTTTTTGTAAGTATAAATACGACTGTACAGCCTCTGAAGATGATTTCGTCGATAAAGAAAATTTTCTTCGCTGAATCTGTCTTTTATTTTCTTCATGTCTCAACGGGTATTATTGGTGAAGCTTTTATCTATCCCCTTGGCTCTTGATTTATTCCACTTTGTTTAGCCAGTCGATCAGATGTCGACATTAGCAAAATTCGAACAATCCGATGACAGTGATGAACACTTCAGTGACGCCCAATGTACTGAAGATGAAGGTGACGAGACTACACAGAACGGCAAAGTAAATAAAGACAATCTGTCATCATCAGAAAAGTTTAAAGTTTCTAAAAAGGATCCATCATCATCGTCTTGGTATCATCGGTCGCTAAGAAAAGATCGTGCATCTAATAACCCATTCGGCAGTGGTTATAATCCAACAGCTCGTGAACCAAAATTTTCAAAAGCTGCCGGTTGTTTACTCTGGCCACTTACTCTTTTATCAAAGCATATTCATCCTACTATCAGTCTGTTTGCTAATTCCCTGTTGAATAATTCACCGATAAAATATACTGGAGATCCGTTTACAGATTTCGCAATGATGCATTTCCTGGATAGATTTGCTTATAAGAAACCAAAGGTGAAACAGCTGAATCAACAGAAATCAGAGTCTGGAGGTGTTCGAAGTAAGTTATATATGCGTGAATAAATGAGATGTTTGGATTCACCGCCCCCAACCTCCCCTTTGTTGAATTTACTGAAGATAAGATTGACTGTGATTGTAATGATCAAAACCGACTTGTTGTGGTCTGAACACTGGAGACCGATCTTTGTATCCTACTGTATTTATTATTATTTTATTGTTCCCTTGGGTTCCTAGTGGAACATAAGGCTTCAACTGCACGCCTCCACTTGCTTCTGTCTTCTGCTGCACTTTTCACCTGCACCCATGTTAGTCCATACTGTTTCAACTCCTCTTCACACGATCTCCTCCATGTCACCCTTGGACGTCCCACTCGCCGCTTCCATTCCGCGTTCCACTCGAGCACTGGCCTAACGTACGATGTCACCCAGCGGCCTCCTCCTCAGCGAGTGTCCAATCCATCTCCACTTTCTCCTGCATATTTGTTGGGCGATTGGTTCTTGTTTTGTTTGTTCCCATAGTTTCTTGTTTGTGATTCTTTCCGGTCATCTGATCTTCAGTATAGAACGAAGACAGTTGTTGATAAAGGTCTGCAACCTGTAAAGCTGTTCAAAGCTTTCTTAAGACATTCAAAGTCACAAAACCGCACGAAGATAACAAAAAAGCGGTGCTGTTAGACAGCTATATAGGCAACTAGACAACTTTCTGAGTACAAAACAAGTACTACAGAAAACAAAACTGGGTTCGCCGAATTCAACTGTAGGATATATATAAAACTTAGGCACTGTGGTAGAGTATAGCTCCATTATGGATAAGATTTTATTTTGGATAAATCACACAGGGTTTGTTATACAGTAATATTAACTGATGACCACATTTCGAGCACAATCTATCACTACTCATAATCATATCAAGTCACTCTTACAACTTGCACGCTTCATTTACATACATGAGTGAAACTGATGATTAGACATTTGAATAAAGACCAATATGGGATAATGTACATTCAGAAATAATAATATGAGTGTTATTCATCAAATACAATCAGATGGGAAATAAGACGAGTGTTTTTATAGTCGAAATAAGTAACTTGTTATGATGTACATGAATTGAATTGAAATACAATTTTAAGATTATTTATTATCCTCCTCTGATTTGACTGACTGACTGGTGGTCATAATATCTTCCATGCGTATCTCTGGTGTTTTCATTGAGTCATTCTTATTGCACGTGTTGGGTGTAGGTAGACTCGATGAACCATTTCGCAGTGTCTTCGTCGATGAGTTACTGCCTCATCTTCAACCTGCTGTACCCTACTGGTCACGGCTATGGTCGCGCTATGTCGTGAATTGGCAGAAGTTAGAATTCAAGGACCATTGGATCGCTGTGTATAACATGATTTCCAACTTTTTTTGCAATAACATTGTCAAAGGAACAAAGGAAAAAATTAGTTATACATTTTACTGTTTTCAAGATTTCACGTAGGATGAGATACATCGTGCCAGTCGATTGTAATATATATCATTAAATGCCGATTCCACCACCCGGACACTAATTATTATGCATAGATTTAAATATGAATAAATGAAAAAACAGCAATCTACTCAGTAAAAGGTGGCATCATCGTTTATTTTTATTCGACTTTTCATCATCAGTTGCGTACAACTGTTGTCTAGAACAATTTCAACGTACTTGGAAGGGTGACATCATGTCAGATAACAGGGGGACTCAACAGAAGCTTCAGGTTTAAGTAAAATACATGCTTGTATGCAATGGCAGATGATAAGTAACTGATAAGTCGTGTGACCATATAGAACGAGTTCAACTCAAAGGGAGTGCAAAAAAGACACCGAGTCTCCAGGATGGGGGGGGGGGGAGACTGATATAACTACTTCTTTCTGAACACGTTGATGGCGTTTTAAGCTTTTCCTAGCAATCATCACTTCGACAAACTTTCGGCGAATTGAACTATGTTGTTCATGGATAATTTTGAAAGATTTCAGTGTTTTACCCTTGTAACCTGTATTAACAAGATGCCTGGCAATAGGACTATTGGAAGCGTAATATTTTGCCTGGGCGTTTTGGTACATACTCAGAAAATCGAGAGGTGTGCCTATCTTAATTCATCTTCCAAGCTGTACACAGCTGATGAAAAGTCGACGAAATAAACGATGGTGTCGTCATATTCTACACAACCCGCTGGTTCTTGCTATCTTCCTAAATTTGTAGTTAACTTCTATTTTGGATGTGTCTAGCGCCAAGCAGTCTAGATCTTTGTTTCAGTCGTATCTCTTAAATGGTATGTAATAGCAGAAGGTATCCTACAGTTTCGAAATACCTTGAAGGATAAATTGAAATTGTTTGAAAGGAAAATGCATAGTCATTCAACTGAAAAAGTTTACCCTTGAATATGCCTTTCTTCAAAGTTGTCAAAATCATTGATGATTTCCCATGTCTTCTTCTTCTTCTCCTTTCTTATTCTTTATGTTACTCATAGAAATTGTACCTGGAAAGTTCTTACAGCGTAAAAAAGCCCCGTTGTCTGGTCCACGTTCAATATCTGTGGATAGTACTGCATTTCGACATATGCCAGTGACTAGTGTTCCTGTACATGAACGATTTTTCCATAAGTAAGTACACTTTTTTAAAAGTTTATTTCTGATAAATCAAAGTGTCTTAAACAGTTGTAACTTGGTAATGAAAACGACTGTCACTGAAGGCTGCACTCTTCTATTTATCTTTAATCAATTAATCCGATGCTTTTTATGCCTTCACATTATCTAAGGACCTTATATACCTTCAGCTTTCTGCTACTAAAATATATCTCTAATGTGAAATAACTCCATGTATGGTTAATGGGTAGTTGGATGTAGAAGTAAGGTATGGATCTGCCTGTTTGTCTGTTTTCGACATAAAACTTTGCACCGATGTGCAGCAGTTCAAGTCGCCACACTCCATGTAGCACACAAAGAAAGAAGAAAAGTGGATTGATATAAACAAAAGAACAAGAAATCAGTAATCAATCCCTTGCGATGAAATTTCCCGCCAAAAATCATACACTAAGTATCCTTCTAACATATATGAAAGATGTCAGGTTTATCTGTCTGTTTCCATCGTAGAACTTTGCACCGATGTGCAGCAGTTCAAGTCTCCACACTCCCTCCTTGTAGCACACAAAGCAAGAGAAGAAAGTAGAAGAAATGCAAAATGGAGATAGTAGACAGGGATATGAGGCAAAAGGAATAGTAATAACTAAGAACAATATAGTTTTATTGGGTATTATGAGTCACAAGGAGGGGATGCATCTGCACCAGCTATTGAGAACGATTTTGAGCCATATCACCGATTGTCTCCAGCTGTCATTGGCTTTTACCGTCCCGAGGACCCCAACCAGGAAGTTAACACCTTCCTACGTGGCTGGTTGGCTTAAACTAACTGCTGTGCATTTCATTGACTGGTGTCATGTCTTTTCCAGCCTGACCCTATGTCAGTTAACATTGCCCGTTGAGGAGGGGGATGACTAGGCATACGTAACATGTCCTAACCATCTCAGTCGATGTAATTTCACAGCCTCGTCGATTGATTTCCCCTCCTTACCTGAGGGACTAAGGATTGTTGTGTAGAAAACGCCACAGATGAATGACTTGACCTTATCGTCAAGATCCAAGCATATATATATATATAATCCTTTTGATGTAGTTGTATTCTCTGAGCTGGATAATTTATTTACGAAGCTTCCATTGCCATACTAGGCAACATCTTCAGCGCATATTTCAGTATATATATTCCGTTAAAAGTAAATCAAAATTGATATTGTCTGTAATACGATATAGTCGCCTATTGAGTGACTATGACGATTGTTATTAACTTTGTATCAACCTTTAATGTGGTCAGCAGTATGTACGATTATAGTGATTTTTATGCATAAAGATAAAGCCTTACTTTATTTGGAGATCTTTCAGCTCCTTTAGGTGGACGTGAATGTCCGTCAGTCGGGTTATAAGCTCCAAATGTTTGCGTTCCCCCCTTCGCTTTTATAAGGAACACGCATTCCGTTGGAAAGCAGTGAATAAGACATACATGGCAGCAGAGACTATGAACGCGTGGTGACATGATAGCATTTCAAGGGGAAGAGCAAAGTTTGCCCACCCTCTGTCGTACCAGATCGTTTCCAGGTGTGGTGAGATCTGTCTGCTAGCCAAAATTGGTAGACATCAATTTACATCAGTGTTTACTTCCCAAATCTGGGTCATGAGAAAAAAAACAAGAACAAGGACTTTGCGTGGGCGGAGACGATTCGCAACTATATGGTCTGACCTTCAAGGAAACGGCCACAAAGAGAGATGACAGAATAACTTTCATTGTGAAATCAACCAATCAGAAGACGCTGTTTCTCTGCTTGTAATAATGAATAATGATTTACATAAAAATCTATAAATATAGGCTGACTTTCTCAATAAACAATCTGTTGCCTGGCCCTTGTCTTCTGTCGTTACATGGTGACAAGTTCAAATTACCTTTCTAAGAGAAATTGCGAATAAAAAGGACTAGTTAGTGTCTAACAAATTCCCACTTGTCTTTTTACTCTGTGTTCACCCTAGGCTCAATGTAGTTGAGGTTATAAAGGAACCACAACTTCCTCTTTCTTCCTCTTCCTCCATGAAGACGATAGTGCACAGTCTTAGGAAACCGTTGAGTGATACCACGCGCCAGGTCATTGCTCGTGTGGAACCCCAATGGGAAACGATGAGAGTGACACGGAGGAGAGGGGAGAGCCTGTAGGCAATTGTTGGTCGAGGTAAACAGGACTACAGATGTGCTGTTGAAGCCCTATATTCTCCAATCATAACCTCCAAGGGATTATCAGTCTATTTATTTGATTTGTTAGTAGTAGTTCTCAAAATGGGGAAAAAATCTTTGTAACCATGCGTTGAGCAGGTTATTCATTCCTTTCCTACTATTTTTAATTGTTCCGTGTTTCTCCTCTGTCCAGTTATTTCAAATTTATGGAAACACGACCAGGCAGCCAGACTAAGAAAACCGCTAAAAAACTCCGTGAGGAGGATGCAGACGAAAGTGATGCGGACTCAGTGCCTGACTCTGAATTCGATGATTATCTATGTAAGTGGTCTTTGCTTTAAATTTTGTGTTATGTGTTGTTGTTAGGTTAAAACGCTTACAGCCTTTCTGTATATCCCTTTAACATTCAGGTTGTGGATGTTGTAATAGGCCGATGGATGATATTCGAGTTTTGTGTGAATTCACCTGCTCAGAAAGCCGTTTAATACCACAACATTTAAAAAAAAGTTTTTACTGATTGTATCATTTAGGATAATAGAATTTTTGTTCATTGGTCTAGTCGTTGGGATTTTATCTGACGATTATCCCCATATACAAGAAGGGAGACAAGTCTTCCTGTGATAATCACAGAGGGACTAGCTTGACTAATATAGTATCTAAAGTCCTAGACTCAATAATATTGCGTAGACTAAGTGGTGCTCGGGAGGCACAAACACGAGAAAACCAGGCAGGTTTTAGGCCAGGAAGATGGTGTATTGATCATATCTTCACCCTTCGACAGATTCTAGAACATAGACATTCCTACCGGCGACTGACAATCATTATATTTCTTGACCTAAAGGCGGCATTCGATTCTGTCGACCGAGAGGTTCTCTGGCGATGCTTGGCTGTAAAGGGAATGCCGAGAAAATACATTGCACTGATCAAGGTACTCTACTCGAACTCATGCAGTCAGCCAGGTGGGGGCTTACGGCGAGTTGTCATCTAAAGTGGTAACAACTAGTGGTGTCCGTCAGGGATGCCCATCATCCCCATTTCTGTTCAACTTCACCATAGATGTACTAATGAACTTAACCCTAACTCAGGGATTGACTTGCTACCAGGGAACAATCTCGTTGACTTAGAATATGCAGATGATATAGTCCTTCTAGGCGAGGACGCTGACAAAATGCAGAGTCGTCTGAACACCTTGAGCTGCAATCTACGAATGTTTGACATGCAATTCGCTCCTGCTGTCAAATGTAAGATGATGTTACAGGACTGGACTACACTGACTCCTGGTTTAGAAATAGGGAGTGAAGTGGTAGATCACGTTGACCGCTTCACTTATTTGGAAAGTACCATCAGCCCCAACGGGTTGATCTCAGACGAAATCTCAGTACGGATATAGAAGGCTCGTTTCGCATATGCCAGTTTACGCCGTATCTGGCCTAGACGTGATATCCGGCTATCGACTGAAGGACGTGTGTACTGCTCACCAGTCCACTCCATCCTCCTTTATAGCTGTGAGACCTGGCCATTGAGAGTGGAAGACATGAAAAGACTGGCTAGCTGTCTTTGATCATAGGTGCCTGCGTTCTATCTCCCGTGTGAAGTGATATAATAAGGTGAGCGATATTGAGGTTAGGCGCCGAGTGGTAGGTAAGGAGCGAGGGGAAATCAATTGACGAGGCTGTAAAATTACATCGACTAAAATGGTTAGAACATGTGCTACGTATGCTAGCCTAGTCATCGCCTTCCTCGACGGGCAATGTTAGCTGATATAGGGTCAGGCTGGAAAAGAGATAGCGGCGGTCAAACCAAAACATGGCACCAGTCAATGAAATCTACAACAGTTAGTCTAAGCCCGCCACGTAGGAAGGTGTAGACTTCCTGACTGGTTGGGGTCCTCGCGACAGTAAAATCCAATGGTTGGAAACAATCGGTGATATGGCTCAAAATCGTTGTCAATGGCTGGCGGAGATGCATCCACTCCTTGTGACTTGTAATTTCCAATGAAAGTATATTGTTCTTCGTTATCACAATTCCTTTTGTCTCATATCCCTGTCTACTGTCTCTATTTTGCATTTCTCCTACTTTCTTCTCTTGCTTTGTGTGCTACAAGGAGGGAGTGTGGCGACTTGAACTGCTACACATCGGTACAAAGTTCTATGTCGAATACAGACAGACTGACAATGATTCAGGAGTTTCAGTCAATCGGTTCCTCGTACAGTAATGTGGGTGGTCAGTTGTTGTTGGCTGTCACTAATTCGCTGTGGCTTATCACTGCCTTATGTTCATAAAAGCCGAATTAAACTAGCCGTCCAACTTGTTAGTTAGTAGAACGTCTGTTACTCAGTTGACGTACACAAGTACCCACTTGTTTGCATTCTGTCTTCCATGTTAAATGGTATAATATGGTGAGTCATATTCAGGTTAGGCGTGGAGTGTTAGGTAAGGTGGGGGGTGGGTTGTGAAAAGCTACATCGATTGAGATATGACTAGGACATGTGTTGCACGTACTGAGTCATGTTGAGGCTTCTTTTTAGAAGAATACACTGCTGGCTGATTTCAGCACCTACTAAGTCCTGGATCACAAGGTACTTGCCTTCCTATTTTCCGGTTGGAAAACAACATACTGTTTTAAAAGGCTAGCACTCCACTACTTTGCTTACGGAAGCTGATTTGTCTCAGTGTGCTGTGCTTTCTCCATTTTCTCACGGCTTACCGTATCTTCCCAAAAGTAATTTCATCAAAAATTATGCTGATGATCTGACAATCTCTGTCGCAGTAGCTTCTGCATTGGATTGTTCTAATATGATGCTCAGATTCTTATCTGAGGTTAACCAATGGTCTCAGTCAAACGGTCTTAAATTAAATCCGTCAAAATTTTCTACTGTTTGTTTATTTCAGTTTCAGACGCGAACAAGACTTGCATGGATTGATTCAAGTCCATGAGTTTTGTAATATCAGTAGCACTATTATTGGGGGGTGGTGAATCGAATATCTCCTGCGTGGGCAACAGTTTCCCTTCGAATCTCTGTGTTGGTCGCCTCATATCATGTTGATTTTTTAATGATAATCTTTTGTTTGACTTATTACATAAAACAGTTGAGACTTTCTGTTGGCATACCTCAACCTCTTCTGTTGCAGTGTATTAATTCACGTATTCTGCACATTGTTCTTCATTGTTCCCCCGTATTCTTTCCTAGGCTACTCAATAAAGACTTAGTCATATTACGTAGAACGTTGAAGGCTGTCTGGCAATGGGCTATCTTTGACTTTGTTGTGTTTATAGGCATTTTAATTCTTACAAGAAGTTAGCTAAAGTTATCCTGTCTGATACCCAATAACCTCTCCACTTATTCACAACTGTTTCCTTGTATCTCTTCTAGGGTCTGTCTGTCTGTCTGTTTTCGGCATAGAATTTTGCACCGATGTGCAGCAGTTCAAGTCGCCACACTCCCTCCTTGTTTGTGGCACACAAAGCTAGGGAAGAAAGTAGAAGAAATGCATAATAGACACAGTAAACAGAGGTGTGAGACAAAGGAATAGTAATAACGAAGAACAATATAGTCTCATTGGATATTATGAGTCACAAGGAGTGGATGCATCTCCGCCATCCATTGAGAACGATTTTGAGCCATATCACCGATTGTTTTCAGCCATTGGATTTTACCGTCCCGAGGACCCCAACCAGTCAGGAAGTCTACACCTTCCTACGTGGCTTAAACTAATTTTTGTGGATTTCGTTGACTGATGAAACCATGTTTTGGTTTGACCACCGCTAGCTCTTTTCCAGCCTGACCTTATGTCAGTTAACATTGCCCGTCGAGTAAGGCGATGACTAGGCTAGCATACGTAACACATGTCCTAACCATCTCATTCGATTTAATTTCGCAGTCTCGTCGATTGATTTCCCCTCCTAACCTAGCACTCGACTGATGCCCAACCTCAATATTGCTCACCCTATTATATCACTTCAAATAGGATATAGAATGCACTGACCTATGACCTAATCTTTTTATGTCTTCCATTCTCAATGGCCAGGTCTCACAGCTATAAAGGAGGACGGAGCGGACTGCTGAGCAGTTCACCCGCCCTTTGTTCGATAACCAGTCGCATATCACGTCTACTAATCTAGAGACGGCGTAGACTGGCACATGCGAAACGAGGCCTTTGTATCCGTACTGAGATTTCGTCAGAGATGAACCCGTTGGGGCCGATGGTACTTCGCAAGTACGTGAAGCGGTCAACATGCTCTACCACTTCACTCCCTATTTCTAAACTAGTAGTCAATGTAGTCCAGTCCTGTAACATCATCTTACATTTGACAAGGGAAGCAAATCGCAGTCGGCGACCATACCACATTGAAAGCACCGGTATTCTTCCGGGGTGAAATTAGAAGAAATTTCATAAGAATATTTATGCTCGTACGTCTTCAAAATATAAAATTTCAACCATAGTTAGCACGGGTTTTGTGTCGGGAGACAAATGTCAGAAAGCTTTTTAAATCAGGAAATAAATCACAAATTGTAACAATAATTATTATGACATGCTTTTCTTATTCATTATGTTCCACGAAGTTTCAGGTCTCGTGGTTTTCTTTATTGTCCAATCTGTATAATTATTGTTGTTAGAACTAAACTGATTACATTAGTACTAGTATTGTTATTATCATTACCTCTCGATGAGCAATGTTACTTGATATAGAATTAAGTTAGAAAAGAGTTAGGACTGGTCAAACGGAAATCTGAAATGAATCCATGAGGTCTCTGCTGGACTGCCGGTTTAAGTTATTATTGAATTCATGAATAATCCTCATCCAGACAATAATGAAAACAAAACACGTAGTTCAACGAAGAGGCTGTTTTCACGACGAATTCACTTTCCCCCTTAGCAGTACAATCGCATATATATATGAGTTCATCTGTTGCTGTGGAGGAGGCAGCCAAGTACATTGATCGTCCGATGCGTATCCTGTCTAGAAGTAGGATTCAAGAACACTAGCCCGCACGTGTCTGCAGAAAGGTAGTAGTTGTTATTGTTGTGGTTCTATAAGGTGTGCAATAATCGAACATTTTGTCAACACTGGTCATTCCATCTCAACAAATACCTGTTTCAAAGTAATCTACAAAGTGAAGAACAACCTGTCAAAGACACTACACTTTTGTCTCCTTTGAATTGCTGAAGCTTCAGCCATTCAGACAGAGAAACCCGAGCTCTGCATACAAAAGAGAATTATTCAACCTCCTTAGAACTCTTACATAGCTCCAAATCTTCCTTAATTTCTATGTGCATCCTGATCACAACTCACTCATTAAATTACCTGTCTTATTACATAACTCTGATACACTTATTCAACTTCTTTTAAGCATTCACTAATATCAGCGACTGTGTTTATGACAGCGGGTCGGTGGGGTTCGATCCCCTGCCGACACACTCCTCCTTTACCTCGCTAAGCCAGTACTAAGACTGGTAAAGAGGGAAGGCTGGGCTGGGCATGAGGCTAGCAACCCCACATCCCGTAAAAATAAATACCACTGTTACCGAATCTTCAAAGCTCTAACTTAAAGCAGCCCTATGTTCCCCTGGGAATGTGAAGGAACTTTTAAAAGAAATGTTTGTGACAACTCATCACTTTTGTTTACTGCCCTCTCCCATGAAACAAAGAATTGTATGTAAAAGCGACTGTGCAGCTAAAGGGGAAAATAAATTTGCCGAAAAAACCCACTTCGCTGAACTACGTGTTAACCTGTCTTCATTTCAAACCTGCCAAGATTTGAGTTATAAATTCGTGTTTTTATTTATACAAGTTTTGTATTATTCTACTCTTAGTGGCTTATCTTTGCATTTTTGTTTCCTTCCTTTTACAAAAATTTTACAGCAAAACACGAGAAAGGTCTATTCCCAGCGAATGATGAATGGGAGAATGATGGTATGTCAATTGTTTGTCTAAATTATGTCTTTTTTTTCTATATGCAAGATTGTGTTTTTCCATTGGCTATGCATAATCGTTCTGACATTCAATCGTGTTTGATTTCTCTTGAGACTGTTATGGTTTTTGAGAAGAATAAAACAATCCTGTAGACATCATTAGTTTGACACTGGTTATCTTCAGACTGTTCCTGTAGATTGGAGAGAACCCCCCCCCCCAAAAAAAAAACAGAATGATGAGACAACTGCTTTTGTATAAGTTACACGATTTCATCATGAATTGATATTTCATTAGATAACCATTGGAAAACCTGCAGGGAGTACTGGACAGCCAGCTAGCTGTTCCGTCCTAGTTTGGGACTCTTCATCAGCATGGACCCAACTTCCAGTTATAAGGCATTCTCGTAGACCATTACGCACTGGGACCTGATTGGCGAAGGTTGTGGGTTCGAACCCTGGTGGTGGGTGCGTACTGCCGACGAGTCCCAAACTAGGATAAAGTAGCTGTCCAGAACCCGCTGTAACTCTTTTTCAATGGTTCTCAAACTGATATCAATCCGTGGTCAAACTCGTAAAAACAAATTTAATCCTTACAAAGCAACTCTTGAAACCAATCACGGTGATTTGTCAATAGAAGCATAAAATTGTGGTAAAACTAAGGGATAATAAGAGAGGTACCGAAAATATAAGAAAGGGGTGATAGTGACGTCATCCGTTGGTCAGGTCTTAATGAGCTGTACGGAGTGCTTTTGAATGCATGGTCTAGGCTTAATAGTTCCAATGCCTATTGTCTCAGCTATGTGCAATAGACAAATACGAAGTTTAGGCTTAAGATTCAGTGGAATACGATGAATGCCATTCTCAATGCTTTCGTTTTCTCCACTAAATGACCACTATTAACTAAATGTGACAAAACGGAGTTACGAATGGTTTTTGTCTGTCCCTTGCCAAACTACCATGGTGGGAGATGTTCAATAACACGTTGGCTAGGCCGTCACCGCAGGTGCAGTTGAATTGATAAATACACATAGATGTGGTAAAACTATCTAGCTATCTATCTATCCTTCGTTTGAGTCTCAATCCTTCGTCGGTTAGAGAATAACAAACATAACATAGGTTTGCTGCTTAAAACCGTCTACTTATACTCCTGGAAAGTCTCTAGAATAAAATCTGATCCTCCTTTATGGCTGTGAGACCTGGCCATTGAGAGCGGAAGACATGAAAAGATTAGCTGTCTTCGATCATAGGTGTCTGCGTTCTATCTCCCGTGTGAAGTGGTATAATCAGGTGAGCAATATTGAGGTTAGGCATCAGTCGAGTGCTAGGTAAGGAGAGGAAATCAGTCGACGAGACTGCGAAATTACATCGACTGAGATGGTTAGGACATGTGTTACGTATGCCTAGTCATCCCCTTCCTCGAGGGCAATGTTAGCTGATATAGGGTCAGGCTGGAAAAAAGCCAGTGGTAATCAAAACAAAACATGGCACCAGTCAATGAAATCCACAACAGTTAGTTTAAGCTAGCCAGGTAGGAAGGTGTAGACTTCCTGGTTGGGGTCCTCGGGACAGTAAGAACCAATGGTTGGAAACAATTGGTGACATGGCTCAAACTCATCGTTCTCAATGGCGCAGATGTATCCACTCCTTGTGACGTATAATTTCCAATGAAAGTATATTGTTCTTCCTTATTACTATTCCTTTGTCTCACACCTCTGTTTACTGTGTCTATTATGCATTTCTTCTACTTTCTTCTCTTGCTTTGTGTGCTACAAGGGGTGGGGAGTGTGGCGACTTGAACTGCCGCGCATATGTGCAAAGTTCTATGTCAAAAACCGACCGACCGACCTAGAATAAAATCTGGCTTGGCCTTTTATTGTTCTTTTACGTTCCCAGTAGTACACAGGACTGCTTCAAGTTAAAGCTTCGAAGATTCTGTAGCAGTGGTATTTATTTTTACAGGATGGGGGGATGTCAGGCTTGTTAGACTAGTGTAGCGAGGTAAAGGAGTGCGTCGGTCGGGGATTGAACCCCGAACCACGTGTGGCCGTGGTTGGCGAATATTCTACCCTTGTGCCACGAACACACAAGTCTTGACAAGTCACTAGGAAATCGTAACTTCATAAATAGAGGTTTTTTGCGTGCTGTCATAGTCTCAGGCTTTCTCTCCAATGTCTTCATATGTTTCTCCGTCAAGGAATCATGAGTATATACATATATATATAAATTCCTTTTGTAAGTGACCATCTGTACATATCTTTCTTGCTCTGCTCAGTATAATGCATTGTTTGCCTTTGCTTCAATTTTTTTTTGCAGAGGAACCAGAATTCAGCGAAGAAGACTTTACTGATGATGATAATGCAGAGGATGACGGCGAAACGAAAGAATATGACTTTTCAGGTAGACCTGACACTGTTTTCATTTCTTTTTTATTGGTTATTGTCATATTATTGAAGACCTGTTCTGTGTGCCTTAGTGTAGGTGTAGAACTTTTTTTTTCCTTCACGTTCCCCAGTGAAACATAGGGCTTCAAGCTAGTGGCTTGAAGTTTCTGTAACAGGATGGGGTTGCTAGCCTCATGCCCAGCCTTTCCTCTTCACCAGCATTATTTCTGGCTTAGCGAAGTAAAGGAGTGCGTCGGCCGGTCGGATCGAACTCCGAACCATGTGCATGGTCGGCGAGTGTCCTAACCGCTATGCCACCGACGCAGGTGTAGAACTTGGGCACTATTAAATAAGTTTACTTAATATAAAACACGGTAAGTGATATAGTATTAATAACTGGAGGACATTTTGAGCACAATTTACTGCTCATAATCATATCAATTTAGTTACGCGGTTTCACATTTTTTCCTATATATATATATATATATATATATATATATATATATATATATATATATATATTCTTCTCTCTGTCCTTCTCCTTCTGTGGAGTGATGAAATGATATTAGATGTTCAGTTATGTCTAATCTCTACTGTATTTAAATTTCAAAATAAAATACACAAACAAACAAATGGGATGGCAATGGGATCACCAATATCCCCAATAGTAGCAGCAGCAGACATATTTCTGGACAGTTGGGAACACAAAGCTCTTAGAAGGTTAAATCCTGTTCCATCTAGGTTATGGTGGAGATATGTGGATGAGACATTCACTACTGTGTTGAAATCTGAACATATTTCTCATTTTGTTGGTATTAGATGGTTGGAGGCAATCGGCAGGAAGCCTTGAACCTAGGTAACATCTCTGACTGCAGCTCTCACTGGGTGACGCGGGTTCGAATGTCATAAGGGACATGAGTTCCTTCAAGTTGGTTGCAGATACGCCTTGCTGATGAGTGCCAACTAGCACGAAACCTAGGTCCAAGGCTTTCTGCCAATTGCCTCCAACCATTTAATACCAGCGATTCACAGTGCACCGTAATGGTGAGCCACCTAGCATGGTGGCCACATTGCAAGCTTGACTGATAGAATTCAGTCTGCAGCGAAGATAGGACTAGACACATTACACTAGTTACTGACTAGTGTGCAGTCAAAAAAATATCCCTCATTTTCCCACATATAAACTCAATACTAGATGGAGTCAAATTCACTTCTGAATTAGAAAATGAACAAGGTGAATTGGCTATGCTAGACTGTAGAATAAAACGAAAACAAGAGGATGGGAGGTTAGATACCGATACAGTCTAAGAAATACTTGGACTTGAATTCATCCCATCCGAAATCGGGCTAGGAGCGTAACTAGTAAGGCAGAGGATTTAAGTAATGAAATCAAACAAATAAAGGAAGTATTACTAGTGAATAACAACTACCCACCAGAATTTATTCAGAAATGTATGAAGAACCACAAAAAAAGCAACTAAGATTAGCAATAAAAATGATGAAAATAGCATACATAACATAGAATTCGAAACCTCTGTAGTACTGCCATATAAAATACAGCTAGCAAGGCATTTCATCATATCTCCTACTTTCAATCGCCATATCTTACAGCTATAAGTGATAGTGGAGAGAACTGGTGGGCAGTACACGCACATCCTTCCATCGATAGCCTGCCGGATATTACATCTATTCAGGAGATGGCATAAGTTGAAGAATCCCAAAAAAAGCTTTCTGTATCTGACTGATAGCTGCTACTTTGACGCCTTCGTGGGCATATTTGCATATCGCTACGATTCAATACAGCGACACTGGTCGGAACTGATGTTCCTGCAGGTTGTACTATTCGAGAAAGGTTGTTAGGATATCAGTTAGACTAAAAACAGTTTCTGACACAGTGTAAGATTTGCTTTTACACTATGCATGGGGGTCTGTGGGCAAAGTCGTACTGTTGGGGAACAAGAATATAACAGTACTAGGGGGGTTGCCTGCAGATGACTAGCATACCAGCTATGTTGTCTCTTCACTCACTCTTGAGAGAGAGGTAGAGTTAGAAAAAGTCGACTCTTAAAATTGTACACTCTGACTTACACTACGGTGGTTCGTAGCCGGCAGTAAATTACCATTCTGGAAATAAGTTATATATGTCCAAACCAAGTTCACTTTTGACAGTTTGAAAAAATTTGGGCATTGGGTATGTGGCATTCATTATGATGAAGGTTTTCTTGTATTTCCCAATGAATGAAAAACAAAACGATATTTCCGTTTTTACTGGCGTTTTGCTATTTAATGCTGCTGCTAATAGCTTTATCAAAGTATTATTAAACCGGAATTTACAAAATCTCAGTATGCATATATAACAAAGAGTTAAAGGGTGAGAAAATAAACTATTTAGGTCAAGTTAAAAGGACATATTGAAAGTCAAAATAACAATGAAGATCACTAAACCAAATAACAAAGGTAATAGTACATCTGTAATGGTATCAAAATAAAGTTTACTAACTTGATCATCGTTCGTCACTCTGGGGTCACTTTTCGTTGTCAAATTGGTCAATTGGTAAAGATAACAAAATCAAAATCAAGTGTAGATTGTTGAATTTGATCAGGGTGTAAAATTATAAAAGCAGCGTGTGTTTACATAGTGAAGTTGCTTATCACATTCGTGTTAACTTTGTCACTTCATGGTGGAGGGAGGTGTTGTAACGAGGTTAGATTCTGTTTTAGTCCATCATTCCTATTCAGACAATTTGTATTCCAGTTGATATGAAGTGCTTCTGATGATATTAGACGTTATTTGTGATTTCTGAAATGCTTTTTCTGGATGATGATTTCAATAGTGTCAAAATCCATTTTGTGGCCTGATTCTGTAGCGTGTAGACCCATAGCTGATGATTTTTAGAGCTTTTCTAGTTCAACTGGATTCATTTCTGGATGGTTGAGCAGATGCTCTACGGTGTTCGTTTCTTCTGATTTTGATTTCTCACTTATCAAATCCAACAATCTACATCTGGTTTTGTTATGTTTACCAATTGGCCAATTTGACAACTTAAAAAATATCCCATGCTAAGGAACGATGATTAAGTTGTTATATACAAGCTGAGATTTTGTAGATTCTGGTCTAATAATACTTTGATAAAGCTATTAGCAGCAGCATCAAATAGCGAAGCGTCAGTAAACCCAACAATATCGTTTTGTTTTTACATTCATTGGGAAATACAAAAACCTTTATTATAATGAATCTGGAAATAACTTTAAAAAGCATTTAGAAAAACTCGTGCGCGACCGGTCTCAAGCGGTTGTCCCCTGACAGGCTTTTCTATCACGCAACAGTAGTAGTTCCGTTTCAGCTGCTTTAAGAAGAAATCAACTCCCACAGGGTGGGCAGCCGGGAAGTATCAACCACCCACACATTCCCAAATGCACAATGAGTTTTGGTTATATTTTAGAGTATGCGTCGGTGGCACAGCGGTTAGGACGCTCGCCAACCATACACATGGTCCGGGGTTCGATCCTCGGCCACCGACGCACACCTGATACCAATGGTCGGCCTGCTAAATTTTGGCTACCGGTATCAAAGATACAATAAAAATAAATTTTAGAAAAATAAAATTAATTACACAATGATTATTTTTGTTTCTTTCTACACCATAATAAGAAATGGATAATCTAGATGTTTCAGCAATTTCCAAGATAAACAAAGCAAAGAAATCTGTTGATTCAAAAGCTTCCAGTCGTAAAGTCAGTGCTGATATCAACGACGATGATGATGATGATGATCTTGATGATGCTGCTGCAGATGATGACGATGATTATGAAGAAGACGGAGAAGAAGAGGAAGAGGGAGACGAGGACTTTGGTGAGGACAGTTCAGACGATGATGAAGATGACGATGATATTGATGATATTCCTGATAAACCTGGGTGAGGAAATCACATACCTCCTGATTTCGTTTACTTTTAAATCTCTTTTTTCGCTGTACTGTCTGTCTGTCTGTTTTTGACATAGAACTTTGCACATATGTGCGGCAGTTCAAGTCGCCACACTCACCCCTCCTTGTAGCACACAAAGCAAGAGAAGAAAGTAGAAGAAATGCAAAATAGTGACAGTAGACAGGGATATGAGACAGAAGGAATAGTAATAGCGAAGATATTATTAGTCACAAGAAGTGGATGCATCTGCGTCAGCCATTGAGAACGATTTTGAGCCATATCACCGATTGTCTCCAGCCTTCATTGGTTTTTACCATCCCGAGGACCCCAACCAATCAAGAAGTCTACACCTACCTACGTGACTAGCTTAAACTAACTGTTGTGGATTTCATTGACTGGTGCCATGTTTTGGTTTCACCACCACTAGCTCTTTTCCAACCTGACCTTATGTCAGCTAACATTGTCCGTCGAGGAAGGCGATCGACAGCTGGGCATGCTTACGTAACACATGTCCTAACCATCTCAGTCGATGTAATTTTACAGTCTCGTCGACTGATTTCCCCTCCTTACCTAGCACTCGACGCCTAACTCAATATTGCTCACCCGATTATACCACTTCACACGGGAGATAGAACGCAGACACCTATGATCGAACACATATAATCTTTTCATGTCTTCTGCTCTCAATGGCCATGTCTCACAGCCATAAAGGAGGACGGAGCGGACTGATGAGCAGTACACACGTCCTTTAGTTGATAGCCGGATATCACGTCTGCTGTAGAGACAGTGTAAACTTGCATTTACGAAACCAGCCTTCTGTATTCGCGCTGAGATTCTGACTTACCCTATGGTGGTCCGTAACTGGCGGTAAGTTTACTAATACGGAACCAAACCAAGAAACCAGTCACATACAGGCCGTGTGTGACCGACCTCAAGCAGTTGTCCCCTGGGCTCTGCGGTCAAGCAACACTAACCCGTTTTCTGTTTCAGGTACCCGAAGAATCAACCAACTTCCACGGTGTGGGCAGCCGAGAAGTTACAACCGCCCACCCACTCCCAAGAGCACACGAGGCCTCCCCTTTCGCATTATGATGAAACGTAAAAAATATTTTGTTATTAATTGATTGGCGGTAGCTAACACCGTAATCCACGATAATCATTTGGTTTTATTTAAGACCTTATTAGCTGGACGTATGTGCTCCTAAGTCGGTAATGGTGGTATTTCCACTGAGGCTCGCTCCCAAAACCTATTAGAAAAAAAGCATTTTCCAACGAGTTTCTTAGCCACAGCTCAAGAAAGTAAAGTTATTAATCATGCTAACATCGAGTCATGCATTCACAAAGATCGTCTTATGTCAAAATATAACCAATTTATTCAGTCTAGAGAAGTATGAATACATAATTTTAAATATTTAAAAAGTCTTGTATTCTCTCAAGATCGAATTCTAATTTTTCACACTTTCGATGCACAATTCTGTCTACTGAAAAAGTAATAAAGTAGTATGTATACAGTCCTTAAAAAAACAAGTGTTAAGGTTTTAATATTGTATAATATAGCCTACCCAATAAATTCAAAAGCTTAGCATTCTTTTCTTATTTTTAGCTACTGATCAAGCAATAACAAGCAATGTTAACAAACTGCATTGATATTTTTCACTGATTTGAACTTCTTGTAGCGTCCGAATTTAGTGGTATTACATTTCATATGATTTTAGTATGTACCTACGCAAAAACCTTGGAGGATCTTGACTTCGCCGATGATATACGTCTGATTTAGCACAAACTGTAAGATGTGCAAGTGAAAAGCAACAAGTTGGCAGAAGAAGCATCCAGAGAAGATAGGTCTCCAGTTGAACATAGACAAGACAAGGGTGATGAAGGTCCCTGACCAACAGCAACAACAACAGATAACAGTCAGCATATAAGTATAAAACTTGAGCACTGTGGTAGAGCATAACTCCATTATGGATAAGATTTATTTTGATATTAAAAATATTAATATTAACTGATGACGTTTCGAGCACAAACTATTGCTCATAATCATATCAAGTTGATATGATATGATGTGGTCCTCAGGACGGTAAAAACAAATGGTTGGAAACAATTGTTGATATGGCTCAAAATCGTTCTCATTGGCGCAGATGCATCCACTCCATGTGACTTATGATTTCCAATGAAACTATATTGATCTTCGTTACTATTATATCTTTGTCTCTCATCTCTGTTTGCTGTCTATATTATGCATCTCTTCTCTTGCTTTGTGTGCTACAAGGAGGGAGTGTGACGACTTGAACTGCTGCACGTCGGTGCAAAGTTCTATGTCGAATACAGACAGACAGACAGATATACAAACTGTCGAGGCTTCATTTTGATATCATTTCGATCTATTCACCTTTAGCTCATGGTGAATGTGAGATGTACTCATATCTTTAACCTCACCCACGCGCATCTTCTGCTTTCTCTTTTCCAGACAATTCAATCTCAACAATCTTTTTGCGAGTGCAGAAGAAGTCGGTCATTTATACGATTTACAAGAGACTGGTAAGGAGAAGCGTCAACGATTTTGGGAACAGAAACGTTTAAATTCTCAAAGTGGTGATTATAGTCGAAAACGTGGACGACAACAAAAAGGAAGTTTTATTAAAAGTAATAAGGGTAAATCAAGTGGACAGTTCAAACAACAACAACATCAGATGAAAAGTTCAAAGGCTAAACGTCCACGTCGTGCTTAGTGGGATGTGTAAAAAACAGTTTTTCACACTTGAAAGATTCTGTACATTTAATACTTTCAAATGAAATCCTTTACTTTTCTTGTGACTTCAGTTTTGGTCTTCTGGTCAGCATATATAGAATATTTTGTTGGTCACAACGTACGTTTAAGTAGGATTAAAAAAGGCGTCTGAAGTTTTGTGTAATAGAAGCCTGTATAACTGACGTGTTAGATGTCGATATTTAGCAGCGGTGAGTAAAGTGGTGGCTGAGTGTGTTGACCATCCACTTCACTTATTTGCGGAGTTACATCAGCCAGCGCCAACGGGTTGATCGCTGACGAAATCTCAGCACGGATACTGAAGGCTTGTTTGATATATGCCAACTTACCACATCTCTGGCATAGACGTGATATCCAGCTGTTGAACAAAGGGTGTACCACTCAGCAGTTGGTTCCACCCTCCTTCACGTCTGTGAGACATGACTGTTGAAATTGGAAGACAAGAAAAGGCTAGTTGTCCTTGGTCACGGGTGTCTGCGTTCTGTCTCCAATGTTAAGTGGTATAATATGGTGAGCAATATTGAAGTTAGGCATTGAGTGCTAGGTAAGAAGGAGAAATTAGTCGACGAGGTTGTGAAGTTACACCGATTTAGATGGTTAGGACATGTGTTACATATGCTAAGGCATCGCCTTCCTCGACCGGAGATGCTAGCTGATATAATATCAGTTTGGAAAAGAGCTAGTGTGGTGGTCAGTCGGAAACAGGGCTTGATAAGTCAATGAAATCCATAACAATTAGTTTAAACTAGTCACGTAGGAAGGTTTAGACGTCTCTCTGGTTGTGGTCCTCGGGATGGTAAAAACCAATGACGGCTGGAGACAATTGGTGATATTTAATAGAGTAACCTCCTTCACTTATCTAGGCAGCCAGCATCCTTTCAACCACAGTTAGCACAGATGAAGCTGCCAAAGCCAGTCGGGATCGGAAAGGTGAGGTACGCCCACCTTCATCAACCTGGAAATCCTCCGCTGTCACTCAGCCAGCATAAAGAACCAGATTCGCATTCTGTTAATTCAGTTAATGCTTCTATACGAGTCATAAACTTGCACTGAGCGTCACGAAAAGGATTTCCAGCAGCCAGTTACAGACTTTTATCAACAGCCGCCTTCGCTGACTCCATGTTGAAGATCAAATGGCCAGGAAAAACTAGCGACAGAAAAATCTGCCTGCCAACAAACCAACAGGTGAGAGTCGATTGCTCAACAAATATGTAAGAGAAAATGGAGATGGATTGATCGGGCATAAGCTGAGGAGACCGTCGATCTTTCGAATGGGAAGCGACGAGTGGGTCTTCGGTGCGAGCGAAGGTCACATGGAGGGGATAGTGCGAGATGGAGATAAGAGGTTATGGGCATTCATGGGCCCAGCTGCAGAGGACAGCAGGATATAGAATAAAGTGGAGATGTGTTTTTGAAGCCTTATGTTCCACTCGGAACCCACAGGAACACTAATAAGATGTTATAGTACCTAGAACGAATTTACATAACACTGTGGTTGTTTATAGCTCCACAGAATGAAAATGTAGGAAAGCTATCAACTTTATCCCTTATTTTCTTTGATTTTATAATATATTATTTGATTTTCTTAAGAAAACTGGTCCTGTCTTTTAGACTAAAATATTTCATATAGAAAGCCCTTCTTCATTCTTATTCAGTGAGACGTATGTCAACTGTTCAATGCCTAACAGTCACTAGAAATCCTGAACCATTTGAAAATGACGCTTTGGTTCACGTGTTCAGTATGAGTAATCTGTGTATCTGATGCTCTAGGATAGGGATATTTGTGTTACGTGACTAAAGGTTTCCTTCTGTCTGTCTCTTTCGCTAGATTATTTATTCATTCTGCTTATTTAAACAAATGAAAGTGAGGTTATTGGTTAAGAACAAGGATTAACTTTTTGATGTGGTTGTTTTCTCTGAGCTGGATAGTTAATTTGCGAAGCTTTCATCACCCTACTAGGTGACTTCTTCAGCTGTTGAAGAAAGAAGATAAAACCAACATCATCTACAAGATAAATTGTAACAACTGCGAAAAACACTACATTGGCCAAAGTGGACTACCCTCTTCTTTGTCTTCGTATCCACGAACATAAACTAGCCGTCAAAAGAAATGAAATCCACTCCCTCATATCACTCACGACATACAGACAACCACGGGTATCAATTCGATTGGGACAATGTTCAAATATTGGACAGAGGAAACAGCGAAAATGCTAGAGAATTTTTAGAAGCCAGTCTGGTATTCCAGTGAATCATCAATCAATAGACACATCGAGATGGACAAAATTTACCAATTGATAAGAAAGAAACCTCACACACAAAGGGTCAAAGAAACAATCAACATCATACCAATAGAAGTAGCCTAGAGGGTGTGAAAACACACAAAAACAACCAAAGAGTCACTTTCAAGGTCACCGGGAGAGATGATTAATAAACTCGTGGAGAAATCTAAAAGCTCACTTCAAATAGAAGTATGCGCTGAAGATGTCGCCTAGTGGGGCGATGAGAGCTTCGCAAATTAACTATCCAACTCAGAGAACACAACCGCATCAAAATCATCCACCTAAGCTACAAATCTTCTCCATCATATCTAAGTATTAATTTCGAATACGGCAGTATTTAATGAATTCATAAATTTCTATAAGACTCGTCAGTTGCATACCACCCTCCAAACATTGTGACAACCAATAAGTATCACTTTGAACACAAATATACGATCTATTAGTTGTGACTGGTAATGTGTTAACCTCATCAATAAGTTGAAGTCAACTGGTGGATAGTGATTAGCAGTAATGGAATCCAGAATGTACACTTCGTCCAATTTGGGACTTGTCATCTGGATGTACTTGCATTCCTCGATGAATTATGGTGTTGTTTTTCAAGTATTGGTTTTTGTAGGGATTTTGTTTGATTGCATTTAGGATTTCATCATGAGCTGACATCAGTTCGAGAACCACTGGAAAACCTGGGAGTACTGGACAGCTGTTTCGTCCTAGTTTGGGACTCTTCTCTTGGTTCTCTAACTGTTGTCAGCTCATGATGAAATCCTTCATGCAATCGAACAAAATCCCTACCAAACCAATACTTGAAAATTAATCGGATGCTCACTAGTGACTGGCCCTATTCAGGCAGTTAACCTGGGGTTCTAGTGGGAAGCCGCGACCAGTAGGGCACAGCAGGTTGAAGATGAGGCAGTAACGCATCGAAGAAGACATTGAGAAATGGTCGCGCTATGTCATGAATTGGTAGAAGTTAGAATTCAAGGACCATTGGATCGGGTCCCAGTGGCTCAATGGTATACGAGCTCGCCTTGTAACCAGAAGGTCCTGGGTTCGAATCCCGGTGGGTGCGTACTGGTGAAGAGTCTCTCAAAATAGGACGGAACAGCTGTTCAGTACTCCCCAGTGGTTCTCTAACTGATGTCAGCTCATCATGAAATCCTCCATGCAATTATGGTGTTCCCATCGAGGCTGGAACCTAGTGTCCATAGTTTCAAACGCCTAGGCGTTATCCAAAGAGGTTACACAATGTCTCTCTTTGTGCCTAAATTTAGTGCTGGCTAGGAACAGATGATTATCTGAACAGAACTGTAGAAGATCAACGTTGTTGGTTCATCTGCAGGAAAATCCATACGTACCATCTATATACTTCTCAGTCTAGCCTAACTTCCCTACTTGGGCATTGAAGTCGCCTGCTAAAACAACCATATCTGAACGTTTTGCTTTTTACAGCAAATTAAACAGCTTCAGGTAGAAATCATCCTTTAGTTCTTCCGAATTGCAGTCTGTTGGGGCGTAAGGGGAAATGACGAAAAGACAATGATGGGTAACGCCGTCCTTCCTTCTTCTAGTGGACCCGTTCGAACTGACCGCACACATACAACTATCTACTGAGATCCAGTCAAGAAGTGACTTTTCTGCCCTAACACTCAATGCTATCCCTACACCTGCGAGTCCTCGCGAACTAGCTGAGGGGTCTCTTGACACCATTAAAGCGAATTTTGCAGATTCACCTTGCTGACCGGGTCGGGTTAATTGAACTAACATACTCGGGTCTTGTATGCATGTCTCCGAAACACAACATACATCCATAGCTCGAGATGTCAGAGTTCTTGCTAGTGATGCATGTTGTCCGATTTGACTAAGGGTCCTGACGTTAAATGCTCCTATGTGAAGTTGGCGACGTGGTTTTAAGAGGCTGTGGGGGGTGGTTCTATGGCTCTCATTGTTGTTTGTGGTCACAAAGTGAAGTGGAGATGACTCACTAGCCTGAAGAATAGTACTGACTGTAGCAAGAAAGTAAGGTGATTTGGGTAAAGGAGAATGATGCACAGAAAAACTTCGTATGCTCTTGGAAGTGTGTGGGCGGTTGTTACTTCCTAGCTGCCCACACTAGGGAAGTTGGTTGATTCTTCGGGTTCCTGAAACAGAAAGACGGTTAGTGTTGCGTAACCGCAGAGCCCAGGGGATAACTGCTTGAGGCCAGTCACACACGACCTGTATGAACTTCTTTCTTGGAATGGTTCCGTATTAGTAAACTTACCGCTGTAGAGTGAGTCAAGATGTACAATTGTTGGGGTCGACCTCTTCTAACCCCTCTTTCCAGAGTGGAGAGACAGCACAGCTTGCTGGTATGCTAGTCATCTGAGGGAAACACCTCACTGCTGTTACATCCCTGTTCCCCAGTGGCAGTACGACTTCGCCCACAGACCCCCAGCATAGTGTAAAATAAATACTCTCACACAATGCCAGTAATTCCTTTAGTCTAATCGCTATCCTAACAACCTTCTTGGCATGGTATGACCTGAAGGAACAATAGTTCCAGCCAGTGTAGCTTGTTGGGTCATTGTGATATGCAAGCCTGACCACCGCGTGAACGCAGCAGCTATCGGTTGGGTTATCCACTAGACTGCTCATTATCAAGTGAGTAATATTTATCAAAGTATATATTAACATAAAAGCTGGAGTTATTGAGATAGAAATAATAAAATTATAAACATCCAGATATGATAATATTATTGAAATACATGGAAACTTTGTAGGAAACAAATG